TGGTTGAGATCGCTAGCGTACACCTAAGCACGGTGGTGGGGCTCACTCTGTTCCTAATCCACATCAACGATCTACCTCAGCCTCTTGGGTCGCCGTGTGCCTTGTCTGCGGAGTGCCTTGTTTGGGGAGTAATTAGCACCCCAGACAACTGCAACCTACTTCAACAAGATCTCAGCCGCCTATCCATGGGGTCTACGGAATTCCACCTCCCCGTCAACGCATCGAAGTCGGTATTCATGAGCATGGGGAAGGGTGGTGACGGCCGAACTTTCACCACTGACAACCAACCGCTACATCCAGCACCTACCGCGAAAGACCTAGATGTACGCACGCGCTGAGATTTGAAGTCCGTTGACAACAAGACCAGACCAAATCGTAACGGACTGCGCATGCTTTGGGTGATCAAACACAGCTTCTGCACATGGTCTGAAGAGGTCGCCATTCGCCTCTTCTTTTCCATCATTAGACCAATACTGGAGTAGGGCTCACCCACCTACTGCCCAATCCCCCGAGGCGGGGAGCAGAAGATCGAACGTGTCCAACACGTCGCTACCAGGCTCATTTCAGCTTTACGGTAAATATCGTACGAAGACCGGTGGGAGAAACTCAGAATCTACACATTGTCCCATCGTTGGGCGCGAGTCGAGGTCATCATGAACTACCATATATTACACCTCGGGAACATCCTCATGTTTAGGCCTCCACTTCACTTGCGAACATCATGCAGCACACGCGGAGATCGGTACAAGCTTGAGGTGCCGGAAATAAAACGAGGAGCCCACATCCCATGCTTCGAACAGGGAGTGGTAAATGCTTGAAACAGTTTGCCAGAGCAAGTTGTGGAGGATAAATCTGTGCAGCAGTTCAAAACTTTATTTGATGTACATTTTACCACCATTCGATTCAGAGAAGGACTGCACATTAGCACTGATATCTTACACTTGTGAACACACTGAAACTGTAAGTCAGACAATTTAGTATGTTACACAAGAACTTGGAGAATGATTAGATTATCACAGGTGGCATATGTTTTTAAAATTTTTGATTTTATTGCGATGGGGTTGTACAGATTTAAATTGCTACTTGCTCCTACAATATAGTATTCAGTAAGGAGAACAATTACAAACATTGCTAATTTAACAGATGTGATATAGCGCAACTCAGTATTCACTAACTTCCACGTTACTCTCGTCCAGAGGACGGAGTAGCCTACTTCAACAACGCCTTGCAAAAGTTAAATTAGCAGTTTACACGTATATATGAGCAATCTAGTTTGCGTACTGATTGCAAAATATTTTCAGAGATTTGTGTTGTATCGGTCGTATTCATCTGATTGCGTCTGGTTGTGACAATTTAAACGTTTAGTAGATAAAGCTCCCGGCTACGACTTTACTAAATTAGAGGCAACAGAATAATATTTACAGGAATTCAACGGAATTACTTGAGGATAAACTCGGTTTACTAAGAACAGTTTACTGATACACACTGGTAACTGTGATTATCCACATGAACGAAAATTCTAGCGACAGCCGATTGTGCTTGCTTGGAAAGATATCAGAGAGTGCTTAACAAATGTCCGTATAAATTTCAAACATGCCGGACTTCAAACGTATTGCTTACATTCATCTGTTTTTGAAGAGACCAAAACAGTGCGTTGGATCGATCCATCTGGCACAACCAGAAAGAGCACACGTTTGGTCCAGACAAAGAGCTGATTACTAATTCGTTTAGTCGGTACGACATGTTATTTCTCTTTTTTCCAGATCGAAAACGAAGCCAAGTAAAGTGAAAATTCCGTATGTAAATTAAGAGTTCGACTGAGTGCTTTGTTCGGAACATAAATTAAAGCAGCACATGATAATGAAGCTTCGGGTATAAGGACATCTTCACTCGGTGGAGTCAGATGAACTCGCCTAACAAGGTGAAATCAGTCGGTGAAACAATGTCAAATGATGTTGGAAACGAAGCAATTCCTCATGGTGTGACTTTAGGTTAGCCGCCGTACGTTTGGAATGCAACATCCAAACCTAGTCTAGACGTCGATTTCGTTCGTACTGAACTCGGTCGCGTGAATTACTGGGATATCTGGAATTGCAGAGTTCTCGGCTTCGATCGTTTCAAACAATACATTTCACCACCTATTTTGTCCTGGCTTGGCTTCCTCAGATACAGTTGAACAATGAATTTATACGGGTTAAGAAGCGTTGCCTTACAAGTCTTGTTGGATAGTTGGTGGGGATATCAACATAACAATAATGATGATAAGGATAGTAGAATAGTTAATAATTTAAATACGAAAATGAGAACTTATCGTTTGCTCCGCTGTAGTCCTGCGATCCTCTTAGATTCACAGCACCCACAGTTAACAACAAATAATTCCATGGTATACTCCAGGTGTATGATGGAGACATAGTGTTAAGTAACAAAGTGTAAGTGGATGAGTGCATCGTCCAAGTGTCTTTTAAATACTGTTGGTGTCGGTGCAGGGACGACCGATTCTGGGAGAGCATTCCACGAGTGACTGACGCGAATGGAAAAGAAATTACTGCGGCACTCCAAACGACTGTATTGTTCTGCGAGTTTTAATGTGTGGCTCCTCAGGTTTTATTGCTGCTGAGTTGCAGTAAAGGGCGGCATACATGATGTGGGTCTCGCAGAATCAAGTATGCCATAATAAGGTCAACTCATAGTCTGCGATAGCTTCCACTGAACACCTCCAATCGTTGCAACCTCTCCTGGTAGGAAAGATTGTGCATTCCAATTACGTTCTTAGATGCCCGGCGTTGTGGCTGCTCCAGTGCATTAAGATCGTGTTTCAGTCCTGGATTCCAGGCTTGAATTGCGTATTCGACATGGGGGCGAACATACGCACTGAGCATTTGTCGAAATATGGAGCTATTTATTTGTCCAAACGCCCGTCGCAACAGCTCGATTTGTTGGTTCCCGGTCTTCGAGGCCTTGTCACATTGCCTGGAGCAACCCAAGTCATCTTGAACCAGGACACCCAAGTCATGTTCGAGAGTTGATTGTTGTAGTATATTCGTTTCGAGCCGGTATGAGTAGCTGATCTGATGTCGGTTGGAAAGCACCTTTCATTTATTGACGTTGAAATGCAATAAGTTTAGGGTCGACCATTGATACACCGTATCTAAATCACGCTGAAGCACATGTTGGTCGGCTTTCGCCTGGATCCTGCGCCAGATCTTGATATCGTCGGCAAACATTAGGAAGTTTGAAGTGATTCCCTGTGCAACGTCCTTAATAAACACCAAAAACAAACGCGGACCTAGAAATGAGCCTTGCGGCACACCACACTCAACTTGTAAGGGGTTCGATAAAGAGCTCCGAACTCTGACCACTAATTGCCGTTGAAGTAGAAAGTTGGCGATCCAGCTTAAAAGAGGGTCACCGATCCCGTTATGCTGCAGCTTGAATAGTAGTATCCGATGGTTTAGACGATTTAAGGCCTTGGAAAAATCCAGGTAGATCACATCAACACCTCCAGCGTCAACTGTCTCGGTCCAACTACTGCGTGCAATCAGTAAATTCGTTGTACATGACCGCTGTCAATGGAAACCGTGCTGCTCAGGAGTGATGAAGTTACAGTTTTCCAGATAGCACACCAGTGCATCGGCAACTATGGATTCCAAGACCTTGGAGAGTATAGGAAGAAGGGATACGGGACGGTAGTTGGAGGGATCAGTTCTGTTTCCACCTTCGTGAATCGGACTTATTATTCCAAGCTTCCACATGGCGGGAACTTCGTTCTGTTCTAAGCAGCGCTGGAAAAAGTGAGCTAAAGGTCCAGCTAGTTGGCATGCTGCTGCTTCCAGTGCCTCTGGACAAATGGTGTCGACACCCGGCGAGCTGTGTTTGCGTAGAGACGTCAGCTTTTGCAATACAGCCTCCGCGGTAAAAGTAATGTGGGTTAGTCCTGGCAAGAAGAAGACGAAGCTTGGTAGATCGCTTGGTGGCAAGACCCTTTGAAACGTGGGGGCGTATTGCATCTGCAGCGCGTTTGCTGCTTCCACAGCCGTTCTTGTTGGACCATCAGCCGTTCTGAGTGGAGGAAATCCTTGCCTCACCTTTCGTAGGCTATTAATGTGCTTGTACAGCAGTTTGTGGTTAGCACTGAAGGTTTTTGCAATGTTCTGATGATAGGCGGCTTTGTCTTCTCTGAACAGCTGAGTGCAGTGGTTACGTTGGGCTACGTAATTGTGCCAAGTTTCTTGTGCTGGAGCTTCTCTGTACACTCGCCATGCTGCGTTGCGTACCGTCATCCATGTTTGAGTTCTGCTCCTAACGTAAGAAATTGATTTACACTTACAGCAAACTTTTACTTCAGAAACCACTTCAATCAGCTGACTGAATTTTTGACGAACTCGAGCCAGGCGACTTCGGGGGTTCTTATTCGAGGAATGACCAAGCTGTGGGAAGTATTGATCAAATTCAGGGATGAAAGGAATTCGATGATTTTCGAGTTTATTGCCCTCTCCATCGTCCGACACGAATTGGAGACACTGCTGATGGTTCGATAGCTCGTCTGTTTGTGACGTTGGCCACTTTTATATTGTGGTGAAACCACCGTATTTTTCTACACATTTAGAACAAC